TATCCCTATTATACAGAAAAGAGGTAGAGAACTGAGGTTATCTGTCTCCATAGCTGAGTTAGCATTAACTCGACATCAGAAACCAGGAGTCGGCTCTCAAGGTGTAATACAGCTCCCCAGCATTTTCCTCAAGGCCTTAATTAAAAATAATAGACAAGGACACTGCAATCTTGGACAACCTAATTTTGTTAACTCCCCTATCGCACCTTTTTGTTACAGAAAGCATTCCGGTGCCTGGACTCAGGGGAACGAGAAAGCAATATTGATTTCAGTAACTTTATGCTGCCCAGAGCAGAGCAGAACCTGCCGGCAATCTTACAGCTGGATCCATGGTTTGAGTTAAAATGCAGGCAGACATTTCATTTGTTTGACTAAGAGTTGTAATTTTCAAAATAGCAAGCTGAAAACTTTTTGCTCCTCTTATTACAGAGTTTCCCTGCCAGGGAGAAGTTTGCAGGGCTCACCCAGGGGTGCGCTCGCGCGGGGCGGGAGCCAGAGCCGGTGCTGCCTGCGCTGGGGGCAGTGAAATCTGCCAAATGCAGAGGGTGCTTCGGCGCTTGTGTGTCAGTCCCCTTTGTCAAAAACTCCAGTGACACGTGGAGTTCTGTGTTTAAGGCACTTGGCAGAGAAATTCTGCTTTTTCTTCATTTGTGCCTGTCCCCTCCTCCTGCTTCCTCAGAAATTGAGCAGGGCAAACAGACAAGCCCAGGTCAAAAACGATTCTGAAAACGGGCACCGTGTTCCTGTGTGGGGCTTTGGTGCCCCAGCGCAGGTCCCCCGCGTAGCAGCGTGACGTTCTCCAGCAGGTGTCCAGGGAAAGCGGGATGGCCACAGGAGACACTGCTCCCGCGTGTGTGTGTCCATGCTGTGACCGTGCCCACGCAAAGGTGCAGATTTCAGACGCTGATTCTGTACCGTGTCAACAAGACGGTCCATTTCTCGGTCCGCTCCCCAGAAATTGTTCTTTTTGACATAAGTGTTCAGAACTAAGGAATTTTGTCCTTCAGAACATCACTGATTGACTCCCGAGATCCACCTTTCAGGCAATTGCAGCCATGAAGTAGATACGCGTGCTACTGAGCCCAACTCTTCTTAAAGTCCATCTACTTATTTATGTATTTAAATGCATAAAAGATTTTGGAGGTATATAAAACTCTCTTTACAGTTGTTCCTCTTGATGCCTACCTCTGATTACACAGAGGAAATATTTTACCATTAAAAACAAGAGTTATTGTTGAAAAAGTTGAAAGTGAAGCAGTTTCATCCCGAACAGGTTGTGAGGCCGTGTGCCTCCCTCTCACAGTCCAGGAAAAAAGGGGATGAGACGGAGGGAAAGCAGACGGCTCCAAGGCCGCGCTGCGTAGACGTGAAGACCTACAGAACGCGCTGGTGCCCGGCAGCGAGCAGCACAGACCTGAAGCTCACGCACCACGCGCAGACGGCGCTACCCAAGCACGCGTGCAGCACTCACGTTTATTGGTGCACCAACAATTTCTGCAGCTTGGGGCACGTGTTTGAGGAAATACGCTCTGCCAGCTGAGCTGTACTGACTTTATTGGTGCACCAACAATTTCTGCAGCTCAGGGCACGTGTTTGAGGAAATACACTCTGCCAGCTGAGCTGTACTGATGATACACCAGACAGGACGCTGTACCACCGGGTCACACTGGTAACTAAGACCTTTGGAAACGTTTGTTAACACCATTTGTTTTACTGCAATGGGAACACGCGCTGCCCACATCGGTGAAAGTCCTTGCTCAGCACATAAACTCAGAACAGCTTTTCAAGTGCTGCTACAACCACGAGGTGCGTACTCTTCATACGCTAGAACGTGTTTGTGAAAGGCCACGTGGTGAGAGTGTGTCAGGCTCTTCTTTAATTGAAGAAGGAATTTAGTGCTGGTGAAACAGCCAGACTGGCACCAGGAAACCAAAGTTCTTTATTTAAGTGAAGGTCCAGAACTGCAGAGATCGGTAAAACAATACCAACAACCCAGCTTTCAGTAAGCACACCTTCGACTTCAGTGTCCAGGGCCCATTTAGTTCCTGATATCTGTGCTGAAGTGTTCGGCAAGGAAACGAGCGCTCATTTGAAATGTGAATGGGAGCAAAGTGCTGGCAAGGGCAGAAGCCTGCATCTTCCAGGCTTTCTGCCTTGGTCTGGGCAGGCAACGCTATTCCCTGCCAGAACCTGAGCCTACGTCCCACACCCCCTCCGCTCTAAAATACCTGTAATGAACACCTTGCTGTGTAATTAATAACAGGTCAGTGCAAACGAATTAGTGATGGTCACGAGTTCATCCTACTAGATGCCATTTTTGTGATACTTCTGTAATTGTATCATTAAGGGCAGGCAAATGCTGATACCCTAAAAAAATCCCCTAACTTTCACAAAAGTAAGGGAGTTGTACATTAAATGTGCCCCTAACTTATGTTTTAAATAATGGAGATACTTCCTGTTTGGGAGACTTTAGGAGAATCGCACCAGGTTTTCCAACTCGCAGTCAGTAGCGCAGGTTACTTGCTCTTTGCAAGAGTCTGTCAGCATGTAACAGTATCAGCTTTTACAAAGATGAATTACAGCAGTTCGGTTGACATTTTTTAACCAAAGAGATTTTATTTTCTAGGCTACGAAAGAAAACATCCGAGCAGTGATATTGACACATTGCCCTCAAAGGGAACCGATCCTCCGCTAGCAGATTTCCAATGCAAACATGATACAGCAAAGCTAAACACTCTGGATTAAATAAAGCTAATTTTAAAAATACTGCAACTGAGAAATACCAAAAGCTAAAATCTAAGTGTTGCTCCCCAAAGTCAATGCATTTGCAAACATGGCAGACAATAAATAAGTATCTTCCACTTCTGCTTCAGACACCCACAGCCAGTCAGTCCCCTCGCACACCTCGCTGAGGTAGGTACACGGCCGGTTACCAAGGGCAGATGGTGAGAAGCAGCTCCTTGTCCGGGGCCTCTCACCGCTCCAGTGGGAAAGCTGCGAATACAACGCAGGACGGACAGTCTCTTGGTCTCGTTCCTACTATTTCATCTCAAGTAGTAGTAACACAGTGTAATCTTCAAGTTCCTTTGAACTGCCAGGTATTTCTTTCGGTTTATAAGCACCAGCTTCTAGAAAGCTGGTTTTAATGCTGGGGCTTGGTTTGAGGTGTTTTTTTTTTTTTTCTAATGATAGGCTAAAAGCAAAGTGGGGGTTAACACTGGAAGCTAAGTGGCTTTCTGTACGAAACTCCCAACAGTGCTAACGTGTATTTTAATACTGAACTAAAAAGAAACCTGGTCCATAGTGCTCTTGGCGGTTCTATTCTTTATACTTAATTATTCATGCCTCAATTCAGCAAAGCACTTATGCAATTATGTTCCATTTTCAGTAAGACCCTCCTGTATTTCAGGGTCCAACTGGGAGCCTCTGCTGAGAACTTCATTGAAATGTGCTTTTTATAGAGAGGAAGTTTTTGCTGCACCAGGGTTTTAGCCAGGTGCCTTAACAGATGGAGGCATTTAAAACCAGGTCTTACATTCCACTTGGAAAGCGGTTTTATTTCTGCCTCAGTCTGAAGATGCACATCCCTGCTCCCTACTTGTAAAAGCGCTAGGAAGGTAACTCGACACAGTAACAGCAGAAAAGCAGGCTAAGGATATTTTAAAATTCAATAAAACAAGTATGCGCAAGCATTTCAAAGAAAAAAAAAAATCCCCTTCAGTAATATGCACCTTTACAGCACATTTTAGAAGACCTCAAAAGCACTTGCTGTTAGACCTCACAACCCTGCTGTGAGGTTAGGATATATTAAACCAATTTCAGCTTCCCTGATTCTGAGTAGTGCGAGAAGCAGGGCAGTTTACACAGCTTATTTTGTTCTGAAAATTAAACTGCACCCTTCATTATCAGAATTAAAGTCTTGCTACTGAACAGTCATCGGTGACGAATCAAACGCATTAAGGCAGAATGCAGATGAAGAAACTTCAAGCCTCCCTTCTGGGTCAGCACTCTGTCCTTCTAAAAAGGGCAAAACATTTTACCAGCAAGGAGTGAGAACTATACCTTAAAGTGCTAATTTACAGTATTTGGAATCTGGAACAGCTTAGTAACACTGTGGCCGGGAGATCGGCTATACCCAAGTAAAGTCTGCTTACATGTATTTAACAGATGCAAATTAAGTCACTCCCCTAACTACTCTATTTCCCTCTTGCCCGAATTTCAGATACTATTATGAAGAAGAATCCAAAGTATTTCAAGAAACATGCCTATGTTCTGATGCAGTGTAAACACTGGGGGGTTGTTAGTTATTTTTCAAGCAACTAAAAACTACCTATGGAGAATTAGTAAGTTTATTCACCACTTAACCATCTACTCGTTAATTTAAAGAAGGCTATCTTAAAGCTTAGAGGCCATTTCTTTCTCTAACGCCATGACTTCACACACACAATACAGTCTACTGCTGATGGTAACACAGTGTAGGGCAGCTCTGGAGATACTCTTTCCAACAAAAACTGTGCACCAAGTGAGCAGTTTCCCCTGCAAGAACTGCTTGTATGTGCAGAATCTAATTCTTAGTACAAGTAATGCTGATATGTGTTTCCCAGACCCTCAGTTTAATTTAATTACCCTGAAAACATAATACCGAGAGATTAATTCAGTAACTCGGAGGCTTCATTTTACGCTAGCGTTGGACGAGCCTGGTTTTGTGTGCCTGCTCAGAGCACAAACACAGAGAGAAGGTTATTTCCGAAATCAAGTTTTAGCTGCCAGTGTGTACCACCTGCCAAAGGGCTAGAAATCAGCATGCGAGCAGATCGCTACGTCAAATCCGCTGGAAAAGTCGCTAACGGTAACAAACCTGTGCGCCGTGGCCGTCATTAAGTTAATACGCTTTTCAAGCTTTGTGAACGGAATTTCATGATTACATACAGCTTATCTGGAAATCCAGAATTTCATTCTGGATCGGTGAGGTAGTCGATGTAACCCTCCTCATGCAGGCGTCACACCTCTCCAAAGTTGGTGTGTCCCGTCTCCTTGGCGTGTTCTCGGGCTTCCACTTGTCCAGTCAGTCCCTTCTGGCACACCATGCACCTCAGCGTAAAGCGATTCACGTCGGTAAACTGCCTCTTCCGTCTGGCTTCATCTGCCAACTCCAGCGCTTGTGCAAGAACGATATCGTCAGTCGCGGAGAAAATGGTCTGGGGAGGAACGTCCGAGTCAGGGATTTTACGCTCGAGCGGATCGTAATGAATCCCATCATAAATTAAAAGGACCCGCTTCGTGTAACCGGCATCTTCCCCAAAACGGTCGATCCTGACTGTCTGCGTGTCCACCACGCAGATTTCGCACTGGTAAAATTTGGATAGAATGGACACTTCGATGGCTCCTCCCCAAGTCTCTTCTCTTCGGATCCAGTCGCAATACTCCCGGTTCGTTTTCCCCAGAACCGCCTCGCAGTAAGATTCAGGATCGCTCGCTACAATCTGGGCTATGAGGCTGCGCATCTCCGGCGCGCAGGCCGGGTCGTAAACGCCTCCCTCCACCACGTAGTAGACGCTGGTGAAGAGACAGGAGTTGTCTGCCGGAACGACCCTCCGCGCGAGCACCGGCGCAGCGTCCCTCGCCGAGCTGGACATCGTTCTTTTTGCCACCACGGGCGAGTCAGCCTTGGGCTTGGCCGTGTCCTCCTCGACGATCAGCGTGTCGCCTGCCAAAGGCAGGAGGGGGAAGAAATGAGAGAAACGCGCGGGTGGGAGTGAGACACCGCTGCTCCCGAAACAGGGCGCGGGGCCCTGGTTATGGTCGAGGATCGCGCTCGTTTTCCCCAGCAGCACGGTAACCGGACGGAGATCAGCCGGTAGCACCACGGCAACGAGCGGCAACCGCCGGCGTACTCACCCCCCGC